ACCCTGTGTGTCTGGAAGGGTAAATTCTACCTCAGACCAGGTGCAAGCGCAGACATCTTGGGATACAGGGTATGCTGTAGGGTTAACTAGGGATGGTTGAGGGATATGCAGGGGTTGTATAGGAATACCAGAGGATGGTATAAGAACATTGGGGGGAAATCGAGGAATTGATATAGAGTTTAGGATTTGGTTGTTTTTGTACTTGGGTTCTTGGAAGGAAGGGCTGGACATTACAAGAAGAAGAGGGTCTATTTGCAGGCATTCTACGCCCTGAATCCTGAGAAAGCTCCCATGTCTCAACACCTTGGGTGCCCAGGAAATCGATGGTTAAGGAGAATGAGTGCATAATCGGGGTCCCTTTTGAGATTTTGTTCTTCTTTCAGGTTGAGAACCTATTACCAGCCAAACCATCATAAAAGTAAAGGACATCTTGGGTTCAAGGGCTTACGATTCGAGGTCTACAGACATTCAGTGCCTCAGGGTTAAATTGAGTAGGAGTCCAGTAGGAGAGGAGAACGCGAACCGTTGAACATGTGGAAGTGTACCGCCGAATTAAATGCTTACAATTGCAGCGACCTCCCGATTGACCTCGGGTGATTTTAGGATTTAGGGTTTCTGGGCTTGAGGAATAAGAGCGCGACACTTCAAATAATGGCCACGCCCTAGAAGCTGCCCTGAAAGCCTCCTTCATTTCAATATGTTCCCGACCAAAATCATAGACGGTAGTTCTATGAGTCTATAAGTGGCTGCCTCATGTTTTTACGGGATGATGAAACCAACCCAATCATTAAGCATACTCGTTTCCCTCCACGGAAGTGGCATGACGTCGGTACAACTTCATCACAAAATAAGAGAGGCGTTATGATCGTTATGCATGATAGTGGAACATGGCTTGTGACATCTATTGCTTCAGCTGTCGCGGCTTTTAACACTCCGCAGCAGACCCTACAAACCCTATAAGTATTTGCTAGAGCCCTGTGCGCCATTCTAAAAAAAGCAGGTGCCTTGTAAATGCGGCGCACTGCGGCATCAAAGCCAGCCTGGTTGTCCGTCTCAAGCAACCTGACTTTCAGGGTTTCTCAACATCATAAATCCCTGTAAAGGGGTACAGCCTAAGGTTCAAAGTCCTGGTTATTTCCCAGTGAAGCCTGTCTACAGGACCCCACCTTGCATTAGCCGATGCTAGCAGCCCGGGGTACGAGGGTGCCACATCTAAAGGGAGAAAGAGGGGAAGTACTTGTTGACCTAAACCCTAAACTCTAAACCCTAAACCGAAACCATAAACCCTAAACCCCAAACCTGTAGTCCACAAATTTCGTGCTGGGCTGTTCACAGCAGCCGTTCCAGCCCACGGTTCTTCTGATTAGCTGGCCGGCTTATCTTGATCTCGGAAATAAGCCAATTTGGAGTTGTGTACAAAATTGTAAGAAATGAGCCACGGTCTAGGGCGGAAGTCATGTGAGGTCGCTCTAATTTGCCCAGTACTCAGGTATATGCTGATACTTAACATCCAAAAAAAGGACTCCTACTTTGAACACCTACCTTAGGGCTTAACACCCATGAACCGCGCCTACGTCTATCGGCTTCAAGCCGGAGGGTTCACTGACTGCACGACAGATTTGTCCTGTGGTCACAACCAAAGACGCATCCAGCAATGGTCCCTTCACTTTGGGGCACATAGATTTCCCTGGGTATAGATTTGACCCATGTGGGTGCAGAGCGAGCAGAGCAATCCTCTAAGTTGAGTATCGTCGGGCTTTTGGGCCTAAGGGTAGCACAGAAATCACAGCTGGCATGTGTCACTTGACATGTGTTTCCTTAGAGCGTGTGCGGAAATTGGCGGAAATGTTGATGGCCTCGCTCAGTGCGGGACCCCATGGCACCGCAAAAGTCTTTGGATGAATGAAGTTCAAGACACCTCTGGAATTGGACAAAATCCGGATGTTCAACAAAATGATGGGGCCCTTCAGTGATGCCACGAGTATAGGGACTTCAAGGAATTCATAGGGCTACTCTCATGTATGTTTACTCTATACACATAGACATACACGGATACATAACACAGAAGCTGGGATTCCTTTGGACAATTGCCACCTGTGACCAGCCAATCAACTGAAAAAAAACAACCCAGTGCTTTCTGGAGAAGGGGCTTGCCTTGCCCAGGTTGAACAGGAACTCTTTCCCTCAGCCCTCAGCTTAAACAACATGATTTGGACCTCGCCAAATCAGTAAATAGCTGCAGCAACCCGGTAGTTCATATCCTTCTCACACGTAGCGTCCCCGATATACCCTCAAAACTCATTGAACACAATCTTGCGTTCATTATAGGTTTTCTGAAGCTGCACGCGGTTTGTTGCCGAACTCCCATGCAAGCTTCATTGTGTACCGAAGGGAGACTGCTTCTAAAAAGCTATGTCTGGTTTTGTAGTACCATGCTCATGTAACCCTTGCAGTACTCCCCTGTAATTCCTAGAGGGACTATCTATAAATATACTGACGGGGTGCACCTGACCCTTCTCAAGTACTGTGTACTAGTCTTTGGGCCCATTGGAGCTTCCCAAGACCGAACAGCAAAGCAAGCAACAGCAAGGTGTTCTCGTCAAGCACCGCAACGTCGCGCAGCTCCACCACAGCCGGCAACTGGGGCTAAGGGTTTTGCGGCTGAGGGGTTGAGGGGTTACGGCTCAAGGGGTCTAGGAACATGTTTCGGTTAAAGGTTTTCGCACGCCAAGATGTACAAACGAAGAACCAGCCCTAGATCTCAAACCCAAGACCCTGCAGCATAAACCCAGAACCCCAAAAAAGTGAAGCCCTGCCCTGAACCCATCAGCCAAATCGCACGCCAGTAACCGTGCTTAAGTCTTGTCCAAAGCTCTGTAGCAGGATCCAGGGAGTAGGGAGTACCTTGTTGACAGCTAGTCCTTAGATTCAGATGCTTTCTTTAAGGCTGAGTGTTTAGGCATTGGGTTTGGGTATAGTGTTCGTTTTCTTCATGGGGGTTATAGCGGTCATAGGGCCCACAAACTTCCCGGCTGAAACTTTTTGTACCTGCATGAGCCCTAATTTGAGTTTCTGATAGGTCCCACCATTACACAAGGCATGGACCACTCCTCGTTCGGCTTTAAGGATCTGAATTTAGGCATTGGGGGGTTTCTCAAAACTGGCGGCTCTTAGGGAGCCCTAGGCCCTAGGGAGTTATGGAGATGAGCAAGATTTCACATTCAATCCCCGTCCATGATCATGTAAGGCATTTTGAGGAGCTCTCATATGTCGAGCAGCGCTGCCCCGTCGAAGGTGCAGAAGTAGACTTCTCCAGAGGTACACGTGACCTTGCTCAAAGACAGCTTTTTTGCCTTCTACAAACGCGCCTATGCATATTCGGAAAGTCAGCTCTTCAAACAACATGCTTCTTATCCCTAGCCCTATACTCTACACACCAGACCCCTAATGCTACCCGGGTGACCACGTAGCCAGGTGCAGGTGGTTGAAGTCCGCTGAAGGCCACGCCAGAGAGTGTCCCCGGGTCGCAAGGCACCTGCCGAAACTGTGGAAATATGTAGCGGGTACGATTGATCGCTGAACATCTTGCATGGCCCTAAGTACCTCCAAACCGTGGGGAAAATGACATGAGGCCATGCAGGGTTTGTGTCAACAGTAGGGCGCTCAATTAAGCTTTTGAAGCTGACTGAACAAATCTAAGTGATTTCCCCCCAAGCGCAAAAGCACAAACATGCAGGCCAATGTTATGCTGGAAACCCTGAAAGCCTTCAATACCAGATCACAAATGGTGGGCCGTTCGGGAGCCTAGGGATATGGCCGTAAACCCGTGCCTGGTCATTTCGTGGGGCGTGGAGATTCTGAGAAGGATTCTGAAAGGCCAACTTTGAGAACTCCCTCAGAGGCATCTAGAAGTTGCTCCGGGGGGTACCACGTGGCAGCTGTTCGCCACTGCATTGACAGCAACAACAACAACAACAACAAGGTACAAACAAAAACAGGGACCCCGTCAAAGTCCATGTCCTCTTTTTGTTTCTACCATAAGTAGAAACCAAAACAATGACCCCATCTGTTGTTCTGCCCCCCCCCCCCAACAACAACAACACCCCTAACACGCCTGCGTCCAGCAACACCAACACCAACACCAACACCAACACCAACAACACCAACAACACCAACAACACCAACAACACCAACACCACCAACAACACCAACACCAACACCAACACCAACACCAACACCAACACCAACACCAACACCAACACCAACACCGCCAACACCGCCAACACCGCCAACACCGCCAACACCGCCAACACCACCAACACCACCAACACCACCGCCAACACCACCAACACCACCACCACCGCCACCACAACATCGACAGTAACAGCAGCTGCTGTTATTCGTATCATTATTTGTAGTACTACTCGTCTACAAGCGAAGAAAAGGTGCGATTACTATTGCAATTACTGCCACAATACAGACCACTCCCGATCATGCTAACCAGTACTGACACCTTCCAAAACTGTCAGGCTCCTGCAACTGCAACCTATACTGCTGTGATGTTGATGACTATAAACCCTTACCTTTGTATGCCTTATTCTGGTGCAGCCACAGCCATGTTAACTTCTTGTGTGTGCTGGTACAAGTGGCATAGCTGGCTGAGATACCCTTGTTTACAAACCTTGGATCAATTTCCATGAGGAAGACTTCTCGATCATCTCATGGTCGCTTGGCATACATGGTTGGCAGAGTCCCGGAGCTTCTTCATTCCAACAATGCATGCTCCTTATGTGGCACCAGGATAGTACGTTCAAAATGCTTCGTTGCTAGGGATGATTTGCGGCAAAGTGTGTGGGCGTCCGTCAGGGTGTTACGTATGATTCTTGGCACAGATAAGTTCTTTTCCTCAGGATGAAATTGATACCTTTCTAGCCACATATCATCAAACTTTTCATCCTCATTTCAGTTTTCTGGTTTTTTTGGCTGTTCTCAAAAGCGAGGAATGTCCTGGCACCATGCTTTGCCGACGTCTCCACTCGCTACCTCCATGTACCGGCAGCGGCTATGGACTCGCCCACGCACATGGTGTATCATTGTGTCTACGGTCGAGGAACTATTGTAGTCTGTCAGATTGTTGAGGGTATGATGGTGGGGGGCTCTTTTTCTTGAGTAGGGCATCGTGTAGCTGTTGCAATCCTGTTCGAGCAAAAGGAGGCCCCACCCTCACCCTTTGAAAATTGCAAAGCGACAGCCCGGAGTACTCGTAGGAGCAGGAGAAGGGGTACGAGGAGCGGCTGTAGCAGTAATGTCAACGTCACTTTACCCTGGAGTTTCATGAGGCCCAATCTAGAACCCGGCTATTGAAAAGCAGGTGTCGCAACAAAAAATCCTGGAGCTTGAGCTTTAGGTGGTTGTCACCGTAGTCCTGACAGTACTTGGAAGGGAAGGAGAAGTAGGACAATACTGTATTTGATGCAAATGGCATCATTTATACAGTACAAATTCTTGGGCCTAGTAATTGTATTGCCGTCCCTACGATACTGTTGTTCCCTGAGAAACAGGGATTGCTTAGGATATGCGATGGATCGAATTCAAAATCACATTGACAACTTCCTTTTGGGAACATCTAGTCCGTGGAATTTTGTCATTGCAGGCCTTTAATTCCAGCGAGGTCAACGATTGTAGTCATAATAGTAGCACTATCCGAGTGTTGAGGACGCATGGGAGTAGAACCCGCAGCACTGCCAAGAATGAAAAAGCGATCAAACAGGCAGAAATGGTCACAGATTTCCAAGCGGTGATGGTATGAGCTGTGTTGAAAGCAGTAGTCATGCGCCTCAAGCCCAGGAGTGGGAGACCAGAGCGGATCTCGTCGTCCAGGAGCCAAACTGTGGCCCCTGTCAGCCGTGGTGCTCGTTGTGGGGTGCTCTTATGATCTCCTGGTCAGGTTTTGAAAGTAGGAGTCCTCAGCGAGGAGCTTCAAGTCGATTTCATGAATGAGACCTTGCTGTAACCGAACCCTTAGAGGAGATCCCCGCCTTCCCTGACTAGTGGGAAACTATTAGGAGCTCTCGGAAGCATGCCCCGACATCATTGCCCTGCAGGAGGCAAAAAGGGTTAGAGCTAGCTTTTTTTGTGATATGCGGAGTATCCAAGGAAAGGTATCTATCTGGAAACCGTTCCAGGATGGGATAATCAATTGGTGCTTCTTCCTGTAGGGATCATGGAGGTCTGCGCCGGCGTTGTAGTGGGTCTCACAAAAGGTCCCTTTCTTGGCGTGCATTGAGTAAGAACTACTTATTTGGCCCTGGCAAGACCTGTAAGGACGGTGCTGGGAAGATGCAGGGTAAGATCTTGTAAGCAGGATGCAGGACCTCTTAAGGGAAGCTTTAAAGAGGCAGGGCAAGAAGAGGGTTAACATGGCCGAGGAAGGTGCTTGAAAAGGTGCGTCATGCAGGACATAATCCAGGACATGAGGAACTCATCAACCGGGCAAGGAAGGCAATGGGTAATGGGTGGGACGAGGTGGTTGTGTTTATTCTTCTTGTTCTGCAGTTTAGAGTTCAGAGCGCAAGGCTCAAGCTGCCAGGAGTAGTCGTCTTTGTCGAAGTGCAGTTGTTGCGCTCGACTTGATGCTTGCGATGCTGCTTTTGAGCTCAGTGAGAAACAGGATAAGTGCAAGAGTCTCAGCATCATAATGGAGGCAGTCCCCAATGGTGATGGGGCAGGTAGTGATGGAAAAAACTTCCACGCAATTCCGTGTGAGAGGTGATGCACGAGCTCTTCGAGGCAGACCTGCAGCCTCGTTTGGCCTCACTGGGCTACGCTGGGATCATGCAGCAGAGGCAGGGAAGCAGCAAGAATTCAGTCGCGGCTGCTGCAGCTGCACTATTACGGCTGCTGCTGAGCTGATGGCTGCTGCTGCTACTACTGCTACTTACTACAACTGCCGCTACCACCGCGGCTGCTGCCGCCGCCGCTGCCACTGGCTATTATCACATGGAGTCAGTTTATCTTACCTCGGCACTTCTTTTGTTCATCGCTTGAGCGTTTACTCTGTATCCCAATGTTTCAGGCTAGGCCATGCTAGGCCACCGCTTTCAACATCAAGTGGAAATTGCCGATTATGATTATGACAGCGAATCCATGTATTTTGTTGTTTCTGGGGGTGACATCCAGGGATGCTGATCTGTTGGGGTCTGTTGGTATCGTTTGGGAGTCTCGTTCGAGCATCGCTGTTGGTTGCTTCTGACCCGCCTTCAGCTCTGCGGTTTCGCACAAAAGCTTTCAGCAGGTTTTGTCTCCCCTTCTTTGCGGGTCTTCAATACAGTGTCCGCAGCGTCCACGGCAATTCGCTGCCGTAGCATGGCTCTCATGCGTGCGAAACGTCCTGAATGTGGTGGCGTATGCCAGGTAGACAAAATTTCCACACTGATGTCTATTCCTTCAAATGCTACTATATGGTGAGACGTATATTCTCGCCGGCTGATGCGAGATAACTCCACCGCTGGTACTGCTGCCGCTTCGGCTGCTGCTGCTGCTGCCTAGTACTGCCTGCCCGCGATTGCTACTGCAACGGCAACTGCTACTGCAACTGCTAGTTCTATTCCTTTCTTCTGTGCTACTGCCAGACTTCGCCACCGGCATCAGATTGCGGATTAAGTCATTCGTACAAACTCGGGAACCAGGCTCCTTGTAGTGTGATTTCGCGACACAAGTTGACACTCTTGGATTCAGAGAGATGAGGATACCGTCTGCAGTTGAACGCAGATTGCCCTTAGGTGCATCCCAGATACATGGCGTAAGCTGTGTGTCTGCGGGGTTGAGACATGCAATTCTGGCAGATGTGCTGAATGTAGCGGCAATACGTCGGAGACAGCTCCTAAACCTGGAACCCTCAACCCCAAGCCACCTGCGCTTTTTCAAGCCTGAGCCGGAGACTCTGAAAGCTAAGTTCCAAGCCTAAGCCCTCTCCTTCACAAGGACTCGTAAAGATGACGACCATCCGACGGGCAACGCGACGTTCTTCCGCGAGGACCGCTTTGAGCTCGGCCGCCGTGGCTGCGATTCGATTGGGCCATTTCATTTTCTGGTTTCGAGTTTTAGTCTGCAAAAGAGATTGAGACAGCCCAAGTTGCAGGATGTGTCTGGAATCATGAAGGAGCAGCAGTATGCAGCTGTACTGAGTAAGAAGAAGAAGAAGGTAGTAGCAACAGCCAATGCAGCAGTGGGGCTGGGTAGAGGCGGTGGCCCACTGATTGCAGTAACGGCTTGCACACATCATGCAAAGGCACCTTCTCATGAGTCCCTGGAGGCTGGGAGGCGCACCGCAGCCGAATACTACTCCTAGGCCTTCGAGACAAGCAGAGCAACGGAATGGAGCCGCTGGGCTTGGGGCTCGTGGGCTGATTGTTGAAGATTGAGGGTTAAGGCGGTTGAGGTCAGCGAGGAAGGTTCACGGGATGAGGTTTGGCGTTTTTGATTTGTAGCGCCCGGAGTTCATTGATGTCCGAGATTGCTTTTGCATGCTTTTGCAATCGACGGTTCAACGTGTCGGGTGTGCACAGGCTCCGGGGCACCCTGACCCAGTCTCTCAATTCAGGATCTGCGTGGCCAACGCGCATCTGGAGGGCAATCCGAGGCAACCGATGGCTCGGGTCAGCCAGGCTCATCCACGCTCTGAGCTGCTGCTGCAAGTATTGGATTGCTGTTAAGGAACCTAACTTAAGATTTGCTATACTGGGGAAACCATATTATTTATTACTATGTATACCCATTGTGGTACCTTACTTTAAGTTAATGCAACCCAGAACGGCAACGAGGCGTCTGGCTCAATCTTTGACCCTTCGCCTTTTCCTCGCATGTGTTCCAAGCCAACATCATGGGTATCCGGTTGGTTCAATGGAAACTATAGGGATTGTATGGGGTTTAGGGCTCAGGGTTTAGGAGGAACAAGTCATCCGTATCCAGTGGTTCGCGATAAATCGCTAGCAGGAACCTGATTTCCAAGTCCCCTTTCCATCTACCAATCAGTGTTCAGGTCTCCGTTGGAACCCATCATCTTTTCGTCAACAGGATTAGCAGCAACAGCAACAGCAGTAGTAGATAGTAGCGTCCTCATCCAAGATGGCCTTTGGCTTTTCCAAAACATGATACGTAGTACAGTCATAATTCATGTTGTGCGATCAAACCCATGTTCTTGGTATGGTGCTTGTAAGCTCTCCTGGCCAGGCACGGTCAGCCCTGCAGGATGCGCGCAAGCGCGGCGGCCCCCAGCAGCATGGCCTGATCCTTTGCGGTGACTTCAACGCGCCACTCAGCTCCATAAAACGGAAGGTGAGCAGGGGAGGATATCGTACCCTTGGAGGGAATTCTCCTCATTGCTTCCTGGGCTTAACAAGAAGAGTTTCCATGGTAGCTGGTAGCGCTTATGCTAGCGTCGAAGCCGGTAAAAGCTGTCTGGTGCCTTGCGAATTTCATAAGCTTTTGCAGCTACCTGAATCCCACCATCAACACATGTCTCAAGAAGTGCGAGTGTTCAAAGTTACATGCCTCCAAGGTTTTTCTCTAGTAGTGGACTGGCTGTACAGGGCTGGGACAAAGCATCCGCATGAAGTATAATGAAGTAGACCAAATCTCCCTTAGCATGTCCCAGCATGTAGTTCTATCTCCCAGGCCTTGTTACATCCTTGGAGACCCGGTCCATGGTTTCAGAGTTTCAGATGGACTACAGAAGTTGGATGAAGCGTTCGAGAACTGGGTCTGAAATATTCTCTCAGATTACTGCAGAGGCAGCCATTGACCCCAGTGTTTTGCTTGCCCACAAAGTTGCTCCAAAAGAATGTGCTGTGCTTGACCCTTAACCTTAGAGGGTGAGTTCGCGAAACCTCATTTTCCGGACCTGAGCTTGATCTCCGGAGTGTCATCATTTGCTACCATTTTTTTTGGTGTAGCAGTCCCAAGCCACATGGTAAAAAATACTCGTCCGCCTACGCATTTCCATTGGATACCGTGACATCCCATGTCCAAGGCGCGCATCCCCCAAGCCTGCTCGATTGCGGACTTTGTTTTGGTTTATTCTATGTGCCAAGAGGCTTTTACCCTAGCTGCCCTAGCCCATCTCATACGCGACTCAGCCTCAAGCTTTTTTTCAAAATCCCGACTGCCATGTGCTCCTAGACATCCGCTGTTGGGAAATCCTCAATCCTGTATGCTTCAAATCATGGAGATGTTTGACATCCCTCATGCCGAGATCCTTTAGGCAGAAAAAGCCTTGCGAATCTTCCCAAAGCCATCAAGCCAGAAGCCTTCTTATCAGCCCCCAAAACCCCAGCCGGATTCCACAGGTCTAGGCCAGAAGCACCAAAATCTGCCAGTACCAAGGGCTGACTGGGCCCAATTGGAAGGGTGCCTTGCCCTGGCCCACCTCCTTTCGCCTCAGATGCTAGAGAAAGCCCGAGGCCGCTGGATTCCTCGGCCGTGGCATCTTACCTTTGCTTTGGGCAGGTGCCCAGTTGCGGGTGTCTCGGAATTTCAAGTACTTGCGTGCAGCGTGGTGACGACAAGGATCCTGGGGGTATTTGCTACGCATCGCTTGAGCATTTCCATCATGTCATCACGTTCTCATGATTTGCCACTTTTTCACACTTCATCTTCCATCAGTTTTCATGACTTTCCATCATTTTCGACATTTGTCACGATTTCCAACAGTCTTCACCAGTTACCTCTACATTTCACCGTTTTTTGACTTTCCATCAGAATTCATTCTTTTCCTGTTTTTTCATCATCATCATCATCATCATTTTGCATCATCTTGAGTCAATTCGAATCATAACTGAATTCTTCCATTAGTTTTAATCACGTTTCAGCCTTGTTCATCTTTCATGATTGTCCAACAGTTTTCAGTATCTCGCATCACATTTCATGGTCTCAGCTTCCATAATATTTCATCATCTTCAGCCTTTTCCAGAAATTTCATCATCATCATCATCAACGTCATCACTATGTCGCATCACCACTTAACACTGTCATCATTTTCAGTCAAGTTTTTTTTGCATTGTTCATAATTTGCTTCATAACTTTGACATCACGTGTTATTTCATCATGTTTCATGCTTTTCATCACCCTCTTATCATTTCCATCATTTCCCACCGTCTTGCATGATAAGCAAACGGGGAATGGGGGGCTGCCCCCCCCCCCNNCCCCCCCCCCCCCCCCCGCCCCCAACACCGTCGCTGATTTTTCCAAGCAACTGCAACAAAAAATGACATGTAAGGTTATCCGGTCCTTCAATGATTTTATTGGTACAAATATATTTTTCCCTTCCGGACCTTTTTGCAAATGGCATCCGCAGTCCCTGCTGACCTCTGGCAAGGCGGCACTAACGCAGAGGCAGTGGGAAGATCGTGACCCCACCCCCTGCGATCCCTGTGACTGACCGTCGACAGTTTTGAAACGCCAGCAGGATCTGAGGGTCCAAAGCGACGACAGTTGCAAGGATCACGACCCCGACCCCGGCCATCCTCGTGACTGTCAATTAAAAAAGCAGACGCTTGGGAGGATCACGACCCCGTCCCTTAAATCTGAGGGTCTAAAAGCAACGACAG